GGGTATGATAACTATTGTTGTTTGGCTCGCGAAGCATGTATTTTTAACATCGTTGGGAAGGCGATTAAAATGTACAGGGTGGAAAAAGAAGAGTAGACCCGGCAGGGTTTGAACCTGCATAGTACTCGATTGTCAGAAAGACGATTGTGTGTGGCTTTGCCATTAAGCTACGGGCCTGACAAAGGGGAACTTGTTTTTTATGTAAATTATGTCATTCTTTTAATCTTGACTTCTACTTCTAAACAATTTTGAAACCATGGTCTAGACACAGAACAGTAATCAGGCTGTTCTACAATAAGGTCACCATAGGGTGGCCACTATGGGACCACAGAGTTTACTCCTTGAACCACTAACCGGCTATCAAGAGAAATCCGACTGCACTGTGCATCGGATGTCGCAATTTTTGTGAAATGCAATATACAAGCTCATACAATGCCCTCATCGTGCCTGCACGTTTGATTTGGGGGTTTTGAACACTATGGGTGACCGCACCTAACAGCCCGAGGTTTGTTGCAAGACCGCTCAGCACTGAACTGCATAGTTATCCACCGGGCGGCGGGAACAAGGATGACAGCATTGTTCTTGACATTACGGCGCCAAGCCGGAACCAGCGTTGGAATCCAACACTTTAAGAGATGAGCCGGATTGAGGTATGATGATTATTAATGTTATTATTGTTAGCTTGCAAAGCGTGTATACACGGATATTCAACATGGCTGGGAACTTGAAGGCAAGAAAATGTAGAGGATCAAAAGGAAAGAGTAGACCCGGCAGGATTTGAACCTGCATGTGGAGTGGATTGTCTTAAATAGACAAGAAAGCGGCTTTGCCAATTAAGCTACAGGCCTGACAAAGAACAATATGTTTCTTGTAAGTTATGTTCTTTTTCTTTCTTTTAGGTTGACTTCTTAACAACTTTTGACCGATGTCTGCATATATAGCATCAAAGTTCCGCAGCCTCGCTTCTAAAACACTGGTCCAGATGGAGTACAGTACTGGTCGGGTCTCGGGGTGTTTTACAATAAGGTCACCATAGGGTGGCCACTCTGGCGAAACCAGAGTTTGCCCCTCGACTAAATGACCGGCTATGGAGCGAAAAACCGACTGCACTATGCCTCGGGTGCCGCAATTTCTATTAATGCGATACACAAGCGCATATACTGCCCTCATCGGGCCTGTACGTTGGATTCGAGGGTTTGAAGACTACGGGCAACCGCACCAAACGGCCTGAGGTTCGTTGCAAGACCGCTCAGTACGGCCACAAATACCGAGCTGCATAGTTAGCCACCGGCAACAACAATAATATAATTCGTCTTCAGATTATGGCGCCAAGCTGGGACTAGCGTTGGAATCTAACACTTTACGAGATGAACCGGCGGGTGTGATTTTGAAGTTCACCCCCATCGACCTGGAAATTCCTTGGTTGACGTCGTCACACTGAAATCGTGTTGTTCAAGAATCCCAATTATTATAAAAATGCTAATGCAGCCGAATCGCTAGAGGGCGCGCTAGAGTGCGGAATGCGGCAAAGGACGATGTCAGGCAACCCTGATCAAGCAAAGTCACCTGTCTTCAAAATCGTACCCCAGAGCTCCGGGCGATGATAGATTTTGTAGAAGAGGGTTGAGCTGGGCAAGTTCGTCTCGTATCCGGTTTCTCGCCGTTTCGTCTACTTTCTTCAGAATGAACGAGATAATTCGCTATTCGTCATAAACCCATCAGGTTGGGTTGGAGATAATCGCTCAGTCAAGTCGTAGCTGCTCACCATTATCTTCTGGTCTGCCTTGGTAAACATGTCCGCGTACCCGACGCTCCATGTCGGGGGAGGAGAACCTGGATGCCCAGACATGTTTGATGACGGAAGACCACCTCCACCGGCGATCGCGATGGCTGGCATAAATCCTGACACGCTGATGGCACCCACACCTGGCATCGGCGACGCACGATCTGGCGTGGCGCCGTTTAATGCAAAGTAGTTCGCCACAGACTGTTCGGACATCGGTGATTGTATACTATTTGGTTGACTTGGTGGTATGGATGATGGTGGTGATAAACCGAAAGCAGTTTGTGCGCCGTGGCTGGGGGAGACGATGGATGAAGGACCCAGGATTTCACCGATTTTCTTGTAGATTTCAGCAAGAACGTCAAATAACGAATATGCAACTTGGAAATAGTCCAAGGCAAACGGCTGCAGATTCAGAGCGTCAACAAATCTAAATTCTGCTCTGAAACGCCGCTCAATGAGGCTCACAATGTTAGGCGAAACGAGATAGGAGGCGTCGACGTCGACATATGTTCCGTAATCTCCGGCTGCCGTTCTCTTCGGTACTTTAGATCCCCTGAACAGGTTGCGCTGTTGTGCGAAGAGATGAGATTTTCCACTTATGGAAAAATACCGTCCTCCTGCCCACCATTTTAGGTTTCAACGCATTGTCTTCGGGGACAGCCTCAAACTCTTGCAATAGACGCAGAAGCGAGGCCAAGTAGTCTTGGGGCTGAGATATGTCCAACAAGCTCGATAACGACATCCCTAGAATCGCGTATCGTATTGTTCTGCACCGCGATCAGTCGTGAAGACTTTAAACCATTAGTACGACTGGGTGACCCACCTTTGTTTCTTCAGTTGAACCCCAAAAGCGCGTTCGAGATCTGCACGCGTCAGAAGAACGGTTTGCATCCAGAATGCCTGCCTGCGGACCACGTCAGGAGCATTAGCTCTCTGTCTCGGTTCGTTGCAGACAAGCAACGGTCCCTACCCGGAATGGATTTCCCTCAACGCGCGTAAAGCCAGCAGCCGTTTCCGAATCAAGTCTCGCAGGTACTCCACGGACGAGGATTGGGTAATGGGTAATGGCGGTGCGGATGCTGCCGAGGAGATGGTTGGAGCGTTGGAGGTTTCAGAATACAGAGACATGGAATCCCATTCCTTTGGCGTTGGTGTTACGTGTCCTGCAGTTGCTGAAGATGATCCAGACTTAAATCCGGATAGTAGATTCGATGCAGACGACTTGCGACGTATGCCCGGGCGAGACATGGATTGGGCAATTGGATCCAAGTTTTGACCTTGTGGAGCTTTGTTGAACAATGGGATTGGGAAATAGTGTACGTATTTGACTACAGATGACCGACCCTAAGGCCTGGTGCGCGTTGCGAGTTGAGGGTGTTGGTTCGAAGATCGGCCCAGGGGCTGACAGGGGATAACGAACTGGACCGCCGCGTTTATCTCCGAAGGGTTTCACCCCTCAACGATTGACTCTGGTCCTTCTTCGACAATCTTCTCCTCTTTCTATCCTCCATCTATCATGACCACCCCACAAGACATCGCCAATCAAGTGAGCTTTTCGTGGCTTACGTAGCGGCTGCAGAACCTCACTCTCCCGCCATCAGTTCGTCCAGTTCTACTACAACACCTTCGACACAAACCGTGCCGCTCTCGGGTCCCTATACGTCAGTCAGCTCTCTCCGCTTCTAGTACAATCTTGTGAACTTACTAAACCCTTCGTCTATCTGGGATGCTTCTCCTTCCCGACTTGGCTGCGGTATTGGGATCTTTCACCCATTGCTGAATTTAGCGCGAATCTTCAAGCCTCACTTGGGAAGGGCGGACCTTTAGTGCCACCAACAATATTGTTGAGCATTTCACGGTAAGACACAAAGGCACTCCCTAAATGGTATATCCTGCTCAGATATCACCTTAGTCACTCCCCTTCGAGAAAGTTGCCCATCAAGTCACCACGCTTGACGCCCAAGCTGCCAGCCCAGCGTCCCTTATTGTGATGGTCACTGGCGCCTTGGCTGTTTGTGGACGTTCAGTACCGGATGATGTGTCTTGACTGACCCGTACTGTCTCCTTCCTTTTAGATCGACGGTGCCCCTCCCATGCAATACAGTCAATGTTTCCACCTTCTTCAGGATGGCGGCTCTTTCTATGTGTATGTCGAAGATACTGCCCCCTAACCATGGGCCTACTAACCCCTTGCCCGATCCTACAGGTTCAACGATCTCTTTAGATTGAATCTGTCGGGTTAATCTGTCCTGACGGGGTGGGCGCTGGAATGATTATTGGACTTGTAGCTGAGCAAGCTGTTTGTTGAACCTGCATTATATGGAAGTCGTGTTTTACCTCCAGTCTATCCGGGTCCCTGGGGCCAAAGGGCATTGAAGGCCGCTATATCAAAGCTTGTCATATAGTCAAGTATGGGAAGCTCTCGAGAAGCAAGTCGACTTTTGTGCGTGACCGGAGATGTGGGTCAACAGATAAATACGCCGCCGCCTGTCGTCAAGTATTCCACCCTAACATGCTCGGCAGATTCCCCTTCAGTGCTTGGCCAATCTTCCCCGGTCGTCCGACTTACTGCGCATAATAAAATATGGTATGCACTAACTGTCAAGCATGTCAAAATCTTGAGGTGCTCCTTCTTCCTGTCACCATCCATGCCGTCCGGGTGCGGTCAGCAACTCATGTTAGACTAATCCCTGCATTGAACAAAGTGGAGAACCTTGGTAGCTGGGAAATTGAATGTGATACCTTGGCAGGTTGGATGGTGGTGCGGGGTGTTGGGGCGTTTCCTGTCGCAATAGGGTCCTTATGTGAGGTTCAGTGCCGTTCCGTATCGACTTTATTGGCCCAGTTCTCCGATTCAACGACGTCATCCCCCGGGCCGCAGGGTCATACCAGGTGCGGTTCACGGCCTTAATAGTCTTTAGAAGGGTGGATCATTATTCAACAGCACCAATATGATAATTAATATTATATCGCCTTAATTTCACCCCGTAACTGACAAGTGTTGCCGTTTGTAGTCCCCCGCCGAGTTGATCTGGTCTCTTTCTGTCGAGGATCTTAATCGGCCAACCAAAGCCTTCCTGTCGCAGGTTAATATTCGAATCCCCGGAGTACTAGTGCCTATCATCAGCTCCCCAAAGATATATGGCCAATTCTTTCGCATGGCGCCAGATTGGTGCGTACGTCCCGGCTGCTGAAAGCTATTAAACTATCGCCCTTGTGGTTCCTCTCCATCTGTCTCCAAGAAGTCATTCGATCTTTGGGCATCTAATTATGCAGGGGTATAGAGAACACAACGAGAGACCGACGGCCGATCACCCCAGGACATTCGTCTTTGCCTTCTTCTTCTTCTTTCCTGAGGCAAACGCTCTCCAAGAATCGACTCGCTGCTCCC